ATATAGAGCAATCCATATTAAAATCTTTAGATAATGAAAAGGCATATATAATACAATATAATGCGGCTTATGATTGTACCGCAAATGTTTCTTTTGAACGAAAATCTAAATTTATTTTAAGGAGAAATAACGATTATTTCTAAACTTAGGGATGAAGTATGATAGGATGAATTGTGAAGAGTAATGATAAACGGAAAAATAAAGTGCCCAGGGATGGGAATCGAACCCACAATGTTCCGCTTACCGGGCAGATGCCATGTCCACTAGGCTACCCTGTACATATTCTTCCGTTCGTAAATATCCCGAAGGTTAGAAAAAATCGTTATTTCTCCTTAAAATAAATTTAGATTTTCGTTCAAAAGAAACATTTGCGGTATAATTGCCAAATTCCGTTCTACAAAAAGGCATATATTGGATTGAATAAAATATTTATTTGCCAATATTTAGGTTGGCTGAACGCCAACCTTTGTCACGGCATTACATTTTTTATGAACAAAGTCAGCGCTGCATAGTGTTAAAACACTTTTAAAACATTTTAAACGCTATGCGGCGCTAAGTTTGTTTATTAAAAAAATGTAATGCCTTCACAAGGGTTGGTGTTTAGCCAACCGAAATATAGACAAATAAATATTTATTTAATCCAATAAATGCCGTTTTATTATCTAAATAAACTTGATTGTATATTTACTTTTGTATCAGATATCGAGTTTATATCATTATAATTTAATAGAAGTCCATTGGAGAGAGGGTCAGATCAAAGAATTGAGTTTTTCTTATATACATACATTTTTGTGCAAATGATTTAGAATTTATTGCCAAAACTATTGAAATTTTATCTGAAACAGGGTTTACTCTATTTCCATTTCTATGAATATATAAATATATTAAAACAAAAAAGGCATATCCTAATCGCTCATATGAGCATTGAAGGTTGTGCAAATCTAGATCAAACTGGCGAAACTGCTGGGAGGGTTCACCACTGATGAGCAAGGCCCTCCCAATATGTTTACCATTGCAAGACAGGTCAGTAGAAAATAAGGAACTTATCTAAAACTTCCATCCTGTATGTGGTTCTTACCTAAGTGTGACATACCATGATAGCCAATCTCCATAGTAGAGGTGGTACACTACATATGATGGTGAAATTTTACAAAATATGAATTTACTATTTTTTTCTGGTCTTGGATTAAAATATGAAATAGAGAATATAGAAAATACATAAAGCGAACAAGAATCAGTAAATGTATGTCAATTCACTCTTGTGTGGAACTGTTGTCCGTGGGTTGATACTGAATAGAAGAACCAAAGCAGGATTAAAGTTAACACAAAGCAATAACGCGCCATCTATACATATAAAATAAAAGGACTTAAAAGCGCGAATGTTTCTTTTATACATAATATAAACTTCTACTGTCCCTACTGCGATGAAAAAATATATTGGGAGGGCTTGGCTCATCAGTGGTGAACCCTCCCAGCGGTTTCGCCAATTTAATCCACCAGACCGCTTCTTAGAGCTCTAATATTGTATTGGATCATTCTGCTTTTATACGCTACACTGAAGGATGGAATCTTAGAAATGGTTTTCAAGTAAACTATGGACAACTAAGATTCCATCCTTCAGTGTAGCGTATAATATAATATACTATATAATATGGTGGATTAAATTGGCGAAACCGCTGGGAGGGTTCACCACTGATGAGCCAAGCCCTCCCAATATATTTTTTCATCGCAGTAAGGACAGTAGAAGTTTGTTTTATGTATAAAAGAAACATTCGCGCTTTTAAATACTTTTATTTTATATGTACAGGATCAAAGTGGTGTCTTTTACCTATCAAGAGTACATCAGAAGTTACCGTCTCCCCACGATGTCTTACTTCATCTGTCCCAGCTTTTAGCAGCCACAACACATCTTGTCGCAGTATCAGCTTCACATAATTACAAGTTAATAAGACTAAATCTAAATAAATTAATAGTGTGACGTTTCAGTAACAGCGTTGTTACCATCTTCAGACAAAAAACAGTAAATGAGAAAAGTATAACATAAAGGTAACCAAGGCTCCTGGAGCGTATCCATATATCGCCAACTACCTGGGCTGTCCTGCGGTTTAGGAGTCTGTCTTGGTAGCCTTAGTGAACCAGTTCACCAAGTGTTTCCAGGCCGGTTTGTTTCTTGGTAGATTCAATAGGGCAGTGCCATTGAATGAGGGCAGTCCAAGAAGTGTAGCCATCTGGAATCGCTACAGAAAAAATACCACAGCATGTTCTTAAACAATTCTAAAATAAAATGTGTAAACAAGATAACAGATAAGAAGAAAATGGTTTTCTAAAAAATCTAAAATATTATTTTTAAAATTAGAAGTGGAAAAAAAAGTATTTCTAATATATGATCCAAATTGTGCCATATCAGCTTCATATAATTTTACATATTTATTATTAAATTAAATTTTATTGCCCTCTATCGTTAAAATTTTACACAAATAAATTTACTGGCAATGCGTTTCTTTTTTAAATCTCTACAGACCTTTCTGCAATGATATGATTTAATGAATGAGAGGGCTTGGCTCATCAGTAGTGAACCCTCTCAGCGGTTTCGCCAAATTAATCTCTAGACCGCTCTACTATTGTATTGGACTGGTTTTGTTATATACCCTGCATTTTCTATGGAAGGCAGCTAAATGGTGTTTAGTTAACTATGGACATAAGCTTATAGGTCTGTAGAGGTATTTTCTATGGAAGGCAGCTAAATGGTGTTTAGTGAACTATGGACATAAACTTATAGGTCTGTAGAGGTAATGTTTTGCGCGGAAGAGCTTTGCTCGATGCAATACCTTGAAATTTATATTATGTACCTCTACAGACCTATAAGCTTATGTCCATAGTTAACTAAACACCATTTAGCTGCCTTCCATAGAAAATGCAGGGTATATAACAAAACCAGTCCAATACAATAGTAGAGCGGTCTAGAGATTAATTTGGCGAAACCGCTGAGAGGGTTCACTACTGATGAGCCAAGCCCTCTCATTCATTAAATCATATCATTGCAGAAAGGTCTGTAGAGATTTAAAAAAGAAACGCATTGCCAGTAAATTTATTTGTGTAAAATTTTAACATATTTATTATAAGTGGCACCTCTCCCGTTTCACATATTGATCATATTGTCCGAACATTCACACATTTGTTTTGCTAGCGTCCACTAAGTCCGACTCTTGGTTTCTATATGGTGACAAATATTCTCCAATCTCAGATCTGTTGTGACTATCACTCGCAGCTCATCTAGTGACCTTCCAGTAGTTTTCTTGTCTCCTTTTACTCAGCTCTGTTTTTCTCGGCCGCTTCTCGGCCTTTTGGCTAAGATCAAAGTCGTATCTGTCGTGCTGAAAACACTCTAAAGAGTGGGCGCTAACAGTACTTTGATGGAATAATCCCAGGATTTAGGACCCTCCGGACCCCCTTGGAACTTGCTCCACCTTCGCTAAAGTTGGCCTGGTATTGCACTACCTCCAAAGCAGCCCAAGAATGGACCAGCCGCCTGCCCCAGTGGATCCCCAAGCCCCAGAGGAACTCCGAGACGCCGAGCTCGCCACGAGCAACCACCAATGGCTACAGGGGGTTTCTCACCCTCCAACGCTGGAATCAGGAGTCCAATTGGGTGAGTACCTGGCTCGAGGCGGTTTTAAAGGTAAGTCGGGCATTTTTGGCGCCGACGGGTCGTCTGGCACTTCTGCTGGGCCCTGTACGCGGGACAGTGCTTCTGGTGGGGTTTCCGCGTCGCCAAGTCTCGTGCTTGACGAAGCGGAAATCGCGCCTGCGCGGTCACGTGACTCGGGGACCAGCGACGAGCCGCGCGGCCCGGCGATCGACCAGGTTACTGCACCCTTGCCTGTTTGGTCACGTGACATGCCGCCTTGTTCTGCCACTCGTCTCGACGAGTTTGGCCATTCTTCTGCGCATGTTTCTACACACGTTGATGTGTCACGTGGCCAGGTTTGTTTACCTCCTGCTATTAACAACCAGGTCGCTGATGCACACTGTGTAACACGTGACACAAACACACCGCGCGATGCCCTGGTTGTAAGCCCGCCTGACACCACACGCCTGCCAGGTTCTCACACAAATGTGACACTTACACACGCCCTTTTCCCTGCTCTTTGTGACCCGTTTAGGAAGCCGTTCCCGCTACCTGAGGTATTTAAATGCCCTGAGTGTTACGGGATGGCGGGAGTAACCCGCAGTGGTATTTACAAAAACCACAACGATCTGGTGAAGCACCTTCGCGTTCTTCACAAGATTACCAACGTGGTTTTTGACTGCATGGTCTGCAAACAAAGCTTTAAAAACCTGAAGACCTGCAGAAGCGCCAAACACCACCAGGATTGCTCTGCGGTAGAAACACGGCCCCAAAAGAGCGCAACATCTACGAGGAGCAAGAAGAAGACACCTGGAAGCGACGCCGCGCCCCTGGAGGAGCCAGAACACTCGACTCAGCCAGCAGCCCCGGAGCCGACTTCTTCCACGACACCGACAGGACCGCCTGTGGAACTGGACCAACAAAACGCCCCCCCCCCGCGAGCGACCTCTCCGCCGAGGCTACACCCTTCAGACCGGAGGCTCACGGGACGAGTTTGGCTACCAGCGAAGCGGGCCAAACAACTTTTGTCCCACCCCTACCAGAGACCGCCGCCGAGGAAGATCAAAGGGGTACTTCCTCTGAACTGGACCAACAGAACGCCCCCCCGCGAGCGACCTCACCGCCGAGGCTACACCCATCAGACCGGAGGCTCACGGGACGAGTTAGGCTAGCAGCGAAGCGGGCCAAACACATTTTGTCCCACCCCTACCAGAGACCGCCGCCGAGGAAGATCAAAGGGGTACTTCCTCTGAACTGGACCAACAGAACGCCTCCCCCGCGAGCGACCTCTCCGCCGAGGCTACACCCATCAGACCGGAGGCTCACGGGACGAGTTTGGCTACCAGCGAAGCGGGCCAATCTCCTTTTGTCCCACCCCTACCAGAGAACGCCGCCGAGGAAGACCATAGGGGTACTTCCTCTGAAGAAATTCGCCCCACCAGCCCTTCAGCATCCATCCCTGCACAGCCGTCAGAGAGTCCCTTGGTTCAACAAGAGGAAGCAGCAGACGACCTACAGCTGCCGGTCGTACATTGCGACCCTCCCACCGTGCAAACGCCGCAGGTTTTGGACAGCGTTGATCTTCAAGCGGCCGCCCTACCTGACGACCCTGCCCCCTTGCCACAGGATACGCCGGTCACCCCTCCTTCTGCTTCACAGCAGCCAGTTGACGATCTCCAGCAGAGCCCACACCGAAAATCCCTCACTCCCTTTCAGGAAGAGTGGGATGGAAAGTGGGCAGCTGCACCCGACAGGGAAACACTCTTCTCCTTGATCGAGAGTTTCGTCAAAGGAGTTAAAAACGAGACTGGAAAACCCGACACAAGGACGAGACGCAGAGCGCCACCACCGCAAAAACCTCGGACTACCAGACCATCGGCACCCAGCTTTGATGCTGAGAAGGCGGCGAAGCTGCAGAGGTCCTACAACATAAACAAAAAGCGTACTATGCAGGAGATATTGGGCCAACGCTCCCCAGGCTGCACCATCCCCATCCAGATGATCGAAGAACACTTCGAGAAACGCATGGTTGGGGACAACACCGAGTTCAGCCCCGACCCAGATCTCCTCAAGGACTTCTCCCCCCAGGACGGAGCCCAGTTGGAGGAACCCATCTCTTCCAACGCAGTGTGGTACCGCCTTCTCAAGATGGGAAACACCGCTCCTGGTCCCGACGGCATCAGCTACCAGGAACTGAAACGGGTGGACCCCAATTCCACCATCCTCACCCAGATCTTCCAGGCCTGCTTCCAGATGAGGGCGGTACCCCCTTCATGGAAGGAAAGCTCCTCTATCTTGCTCCACAAGAAAGGGGACGCCGACGACCTAGGGAACTGGAGGCCTATCGCGCTGGGCAACACGATCGCAAAGCTTTACACCGCGGTCCTGGCGGATAGGCTCAGGAGATGGGCAGCGACGACGGGACAGCTCTCCAAGGCGCAGAAGGGCTTCATGGAGTTCGAGGGGTGCCTGGAACATAATTTCGTGGTCCAGAGTGCCATCGAGGAGACCAAGAGAACCAGCAGACAAGCTTGCTTCACCTGGCTGGATCTTGAAAATGCATTTGGCTCGGTGCCTCACGAACACATCTTCAATGTGTTAAATGCATTTGGCGTCCCTGAAAAGGTAATCGCGGTATTCAGGGACCTATACACGGACTCCTCCACCTCAATCAGGACCCCGCTGGGAACCACATCGCCCATCCCCTTCAAACGCGGGGTGAAGCAATGCTGCCCTGGAAGCCCAACCCTCTTCAACGTGGCCATAGAGGTCATAGTCCGCACCCTCGCCTCGAAGGCAAAAGACCATGGTGTCCGCTTACTCGAGCACTATGTGTTGGTGCTGGCCTATGCTGACGACCTCCTCATCATGGCAAAAGACAAGGAGTCTCTACAAGTGCTCCTAGACACCACCGGCGATCTGGCGGGAAAGATCGGACTCCACTTCAAGGGCCCCAAATGCGCGACTCTTCACTTGGTCTGCAGGAAAAAGAGGACTACTCTGCCCACAACCTTCTGCATCCAAGAACAGTCAATCTCAGCGATGAGAGAAGACGACGCATACTGCCACCTTGGAGTACCCACCGGATTCAACAAGACAAGGAACCCCGAGGAAGCCATCAAGGGAATCAAGGAGGATACGGAAAAAATTCACAGCAGCCTCCTCGCTCCCTGGCAGAAGATCGACGCCACCAAGACCTACATCTACCCAAGGCTCGACTTCATTCTACGAGGGTCCCCGATCCACAAGACCGCCTTCAGGGAAGTGGACCTACTGATTAAGAGACTAGGGAAGAAATGGCTCGGCCTGCCCCAGCGGGCCAGCAACGAGGTGCTCTACATCCCTCCTTCCAAAGGCGGAGCAGGAATGGTGCCGTTTGGTGACAGGACCGACTTGGCCAAGATCCAACACGCCTTCCGGCTCCTCACGAGCCCAGACTCCGAAACCTCCGCACTCGCCAAAAGCCTTCTCAAAAGAGTCGCGGGGAGGAAACTGGGACGGCCTGCACTGGAAGAAGACCTGGCAGCGTATCTATCGGGGAAACTCGACGGTGATTTCGCCAGGGATGGTGGAGACATCACGTCACTCTGGAGCGATGCCAGAAACGCTTCCCGACGCCTCTCAAAAAGGATCGGCGTTCAGTGGGTCCACAACCCAACGTTGGGAGACATTACCATCAAACTCCCCAACGCCGGCAGGACACCGAAAGAAATCAGCCTTCCCGCGGTCGCTAGGGGCCAAATCATGGCAAGACTTCGGCAGGCCCTCCAAGACTCCTACCTGAAAACCCTAATCAAAAAGCCTGATCAGGGAAAGGTCTACGAGGTCACCTGTCGGAACAAGTCTTCCAATGGCTTCATCAACAGTGGGAGATATATGCGTTTCGCCGACTGGAGGTTTATCCACCGTTCCCGGCTTAACGTACTTCCGCTGAACGGAGCCAAAAGATTTGGCCCTGAGGACAAGCGTTGCAGGGTTTGCGGCCAGGTGGACGAAACACTACCTCATGTGCTTCAACACTGCCGTAAACACTCCGCTGCGGTCACCAAAAGGCACCACAACATCGTCGAGCGGCTGAAAAAGGCTACGAGGTTGCAGGGAAGAACGAGAATAAATCAAAGGGTCCCTGAGGTTTCTTCTAACCTTCGTCCGGATATAGTGGTGACAGAAGAGGAGAAGAAGAAGATCACCATTATAGACGTGGCGATACCCTTCGAGAACCGCCTCGTGGCCTTCAAAGATGCAAGGGAGAGAAAAATTTCGAAATACACTCCCCTTGCAAACGAACTTCGCGAGAAAGGGTGGGAAGTATTCCTGGACGCCTTTCTAGTTGGCCCGCTCGGTGGCTGGGACAACGAGAATGAAAAGGTCCTCCGGGCACTTGATATCTTCCACGATATTCCACAGTAATGCGGAATATAATGTGTGCAGAAACCATCAAGTGGTCTAGGGATATCTACGTGGAGCATATAACCGGTCAGAAACAATACTAACCGGTTTATGCTCTACCCTATATATGTACTCACCCTGTGTTTTTCAGGTCCAGAAGCGACATCCCTGTGGTCCAGACCGGTTCCAGCGGACTCCTCTTCTTTCCCAAGGCCTTTTGGAGGCTATGAGCCCCACCTACAACCGGGTCGTGGCGGTATAACCACTCCGGGTTTGGCGGAAATGCCTGCCCACACCGAGTCGTGGCGGTATAACCACTCAGGGTCTGGAGGAAATGCCAACTCGAAGAAAGAAGAGGAGGATCTTCCCGCAAAAAGACCTTCCGCCCGGATCCGGAGGACCAGTAGAAGACGCCCTTGTATATTTAATATTTTTTCATTCATTTTTTATAATTTTAACTTGTATATTTTCTTAAAATTGTTTTTTAATATCTGCTATGTTGAACATGTAATTTTTTGAATTTGTTCAATAAAATGTTTTAAATCTGTTCTTATCAGCTTAATTTGAAGCTTCCTCGAAGAACTGAAGCCTGCACCTCGACGCCCACGAGAATCTCCAGGAACCCCACACACACTGTAAGTCGTTTTTTTTTTAAATATATATATACCGGCCCTCTTTCTAGCATTTGCATTTTTTTTTCTTTAATTTTTTTTACTACTTAGCTTACCTTAGTGCTGTCACTCTGGTTAGCATATTCCATGTCTTTTGCATATTTGTGTTTATATAAGTTGTGTTAAACAACTTTTATAAACATATATCTGCATTTTTTATTTATTTATTTATCTATTTTTTTTCTTTGCACTCTTGTTTATTTGCATATATATATATTAATATATATATGTGATATCTTGGGACCTCTGGGACCAGTGTTACCTGATGCTAGACGAACCTCGATGTCAACTCTACCGTGCAGTCGTGGTGGAAGGCGACACAGCTGGGCCAAAGGTGAAATAAACAAACAGAGATTCCACTAAAAAGCGTCTGACGTCAAGAAGGAATGGGATGAGCGGAGAGGGAGATCTTTAGAGCAAGTGTTACCTTGGTGAGATCCAAGCGCATACTGCCTAACCTAGGTTCTCGATTTAACACCAAGACCTTTCTTCTTTCTGATTGGTTGACCTATTTAGGTGATTCTTTCCTAATTGGTGGGACTATGTCACGTGGCCGTTGGCTATTGGTTGACCTACTTAGGTGATTCTCTTCTAATTGGTCTTTGCTGCTGCCTTTGACGGAAGATATATCCGGCCTGGTCAGGAAGTATTGGGTGTCTCTCAACTTTTATAACTTCTGCGTTCACCAGATACGTCCGGTCCTGTCAGGAAATATTGGCTTAAACTTAGCTCGCAGGGTTTCCGGGGTCAGAAGGTTAACTGTGACTTTATTAATAACTATGTTCTCTTCTAGATCTACTTCCTAGGTCTTACTTCTACTCTCACCTAAGCCTGATTAGTTTTAACCTTAATTTTCTCCTGTTAGTCTCCATTCCTTCTATCTGTACAGTTGTTATACTTTATTAGATTCTTACGCGGTACAGATTGATGTTAGTTGAGGCTTTCTATGTGCAGTACATAAGAAGTTATATACAGTCATGGGGTGGAACATGTGGTAGTAGATATCTAGACTATTTACAACAATTCCATGGTCTTAAATCATCACAGATGGCCCCGGATTTGAGAGGGTTCATATGGAGGGATTTAAGAGAGCGGAATAGGAAGACTGTTATTAAGGAAGTAATTTTTTAAAAATTAATTGAAATGAGTTGGTATATAACATGGGGTTGATTTCTGTATATCCATAAGAGATAATAAAGCATAAACAACTAATACTAAACATACAAGTAAAAATAAAAATATGAATAAAATATTTAATAGAGAACATATAATGATTATAGGTGAAAATAAAAACGATTGGATGGGAAAATCATGATCTCTTCGTGATGGGCGTTAGAAAGGGTTGAGGGGTTAGTTATTACTTGGTTGAGGCAATGTCACTTTGACTCAAGTCCCAAACCATTTAATGTGCACGGCGCGGAAAACCTAGGCCATGTTTCACATGTAAATTTAAGGACCGAATAAAGTTACAGTACCACAATCGAAAAGTAAGATAAGGGTGATTGCTATGGGTTTTAGTAATTAGTCGTTAAGACGTACGCATGCAGGATAAATGAGGGCGAAGATCTGTGACCAGAAATCAAAGTTTTAATTGGAGTCGTCAGGGGCTTAGCGAGAAAAAGAGTAAAATAAAAAAAAATGTGCCAGCGTGTGGCATGAGAGTGCCCTGGAATATATTTAAAAAAAAATACAATTTGCACGTATCCAAGCCAGAAGTAGGGATAGGTAAGTCTGGGGGACGGTGTGTCAAAATTGTTAATTACGAAATCAAAGTAGGTCAAGTCTAGCCTGCGAAGGAGTTAAAAGTTCCTGCGGAAAAGGGTTAGTATTTATTAAGAAGTAACCTTTAAAGTGGTTGTTTAAGAGGTTATTGAAGATTGCCCTGTTTTTAGATCATGATTTTTAGTTTGATGATAAAATAATATATCATTGAGATATGAAATTGCGAAATTACGGCTTTGCATATAGCGTTAAAGGATTTAAAAAATCGAAAATAGAATTGCGAAGTTAAATGCAAAGTAATCTTTAAAAAAAAAGTAAAAATAGTGATGATATGATACAAAGATTAACACACTACAGCAGTATATAAGGGGTAATAGAAAGTGAAAATATTAAATGAAAAAAAAAATAAGCAGTAATATACTCGATAGCATTGAACATGGTAGCGGAAGATGAAACAATGTAAATAACATATAATTTATAAAGTGAGAGAAAATATAAAATGACAAATGCAAATTAGTGATATAAACATGAAATATAAACTTGAGATTATTAGATATGAAAGATAAAATATAAAGTTGATTATAGAATAGAGTCATAAAGCAAAAGTAAATAAGTTTTGGTAAAGAAAAATACAATAAAATGACAATAATCTAAACTGATTGGTTGACGTAAATAAAAAAAAACAATTATAAAAGCTAGATAATGATTATATAAAGAATATTAAAATGAGAATTTAAAAAAAAATGTTCATCGAGAAAGAAGAGCAAGTAAGATTATACATAGAAATTATATATCGTGAAAGAATGGAAAGTTGTAGGCCAAATAAATGTATGTTCCTGTTTTTTAGGATGGGTGGAGAGAGCTTTAAATTGTCCTCGATTGATATCTTTGGTCTTGTTGGCCTAAGTTTTTCTAACTTATCGAATTTGTTTTATGTTTGGCGTGACTCGTGGATCACATTGATTCCAACTGTGAAACTCACTGAGTCCTAATGTTGTCGATTTTTTGTTCCCTGCGCCACGTTTAGGTGAAAACGTGATTCTTCCTAAAGCGGCATTTATTCTGTTAGTGGACTGATTTGTTAGTAAATGTAAACTAACGTGTTAAGCAAGTTATTAGTAGCTAAACGGGATATTGGAGTAGAATAATGGGTTAGGGATTAGAACGATATATAGTAAAAGGTACGCACTAATATTTAATTTAATAGGTAGCGAAAAATCCATTAGAGTGACATCGGGGTGGCGACGGGCCATAACAAGATGTCGGCTGTTTGTTTGCTCGGGGGGCGAGGGGGAGCGAAGCTATTTTTAATGCGATTCTGGATGTAGGTCAGGGGGGCTCCTTGCGGGGCTGCTTGCTTCTTCCAACTTATTGGATTTGTTAATTCGAACTACGTTCGGAGATATTATTTCTAAAATTGTAAACGCAAAAGCGTTTTGATTTGTCACGTTTGGTGACAAGCGTTATGGGATTGACATAGGGAGATACAGAGGTTGTAATTATCCTGTGTGTTCAAGCATTTGTTCGATTTGTGTTTGTATTTCGAAAATTCGGATATTGTATCTGTTGATATTAAATCGAATGGTTTTTGGCGGACTTAGTAAAAATGTTATTCATTGATATCGGGTTAGAATTGAATGAAATTGCGACTATCTACGTGGACAATGTGTGGTTAAATGTGTCACAGGCGTGATGAAGGCGTCTTTGGCCTGAGAAGTGAAAGAGTTTTGTGGCGTAGCTCTGTGACACGAAGCGAAAAAATTGTAAATGAAAAGGTGTCACGTGAAGTCTTTGTTTTGTACAAAATCTAACCTGTTTCACTAAGAATAACAAATTTACTAAAGTCATGGGTGCTGGTTGTACGAACATATAGCGAGAATTTTTATATTGTTAGTGGATATGGCACGTTTAATGTGAAAAAAAAAAAGATTGTGTGTGTTTAGTAGGGCGACGTAATGGAGCTTGTGTGGCTCGAAATTGGACTTGGGTGTGAAGTCGCGCATTGAAAATTGTTGCCAATTGAAAAAAAGTGATGTGATAGGGTGTTGTTTATTTTGTTGAGAGCGGTTTGTCGATATTTAAATATGCATGTAAAAGGAAGGAGTGTAGTTATGTGGGAATTTAACGATTGGAATAGTTTTGGGAAGCTGTGACTTAGGTTATTTCTGTCCAAAGCTATGAAAGAAAAGGACATAGGGGCGTTGAAAATGGGATTAAGAATATTACAATAAGACCGAATAAGAGCGTTGGAGTTCACCACGTGTGAGCAACTCGTTCCAGGGGGGGAAAATTTAGTAAATGGGACAGTTGTATTAACCTGTCCATGGGACACGTGTTGCTTGCACGAGGTGAATTGGTACAAGGTAGTTGGTAGAGGTACATTATCTTCATACAGGAGTAGCTGAGGACAGTTTATAATTAGTAGAAATCGTTTTATGGAATTAAGGAATAAAATGCCAAAAGGAAAAGGTGTATCGATGATATGGAATTTTAGATTCCGCGTTATGTTACTTATTTTTAAAATCAAAAAGATATAATCTATGATGAAAATATTGTTAGCTATGGCATTAATAGTTAAGTTAAATGGGTGGACAGGTATTTTTCTTTTACAAACTGATTTCTTATTTTTTAAAAGTATTCTGCCTAATTATATCGATAGATGCTCCTGTATTAAATAGTAGAGGTAGGTTTACATTATTGGACAGTTCAGCTCGAACGAACAATTGTTCAACAAAAATTATGTATGGAGGAACCTACTATGGTGCTGTCTTGTATGTCGGGACAGTCCTGGTCTTGTGCCGTGGTTGGAGGTTCCTTGGGACAGTCAGAGTTCATTGTTTGCGCTGGGCTCGTGGTTTAGAGATGGTCGGGGGAGCAGGTAACCTACGCTCGCGTGTTGGTAACTCGGAGGGGCGCTTGCAGGAGGTTTGCTGGCTTTCTCAGTCTTGTAGAGTATTGTAGTTGGGCCCGATCTGCTTGGGCGTCGTAGTTGGTGAAGCAGCTCGGCGCCTCGTACGAACCATCGTAGCGCGGTAGCTTCACATCTCGCGATAGTCCTGTCGCCGAGGAGAGCTGATATATCGTCCTGGCTAAACTCCCCAGGACATCTGACACCGGCGGCGGGGGCGTGACGTCTTCCTGGCCGGGGGCGATTTCCTCCGTTCTACCGAGAGTGTTTTCTTTCTTTGGAAAAGTGGTGTTTTCGCCACTTTCGGAGTCGGGATCGGACTCCATTGGTTCCTTTGGATTCTCCTCTCTTCCCTGTTCCATCTTTCTGTACAGACAGTGGTCTACTTGCTTACTTGTACCTTGGCGTCCACAATCCTGTCGACTCTTCGGACGGGGGAGTCTGTGATATCTTGGGACCTCTGGGACCAGTGTTACCTGATGCTAGACGAACCTCGATGTCAACTCTACCGTGCAGTCGTGGTGGAAGGCGACACAGCTGGGCCAAAGGTGAAATAAACAAACAGAGATTCCACTAAAAAGCGTCTGACGTCAAGAAGGAATGGGATGAGCGGAGAGGGAGATCTTTAGAGCAAGTGTTACCTTGGTGAGATCCAAGCGCATACTGCCTAACCTAGGTTCTCGATTTAACACCAAGACCTTTCTTCTTTCTGATTGGTTGACCTATTTAGGTGATTCTTTCCTAATTGGTGGGACTATGTCACGTGGCCGTTGGCTATTGGTTGACCTACTTAGGTGATTCTCTTCTAATTGGTCTTTGCTGCTGCCTTTGACGGAAGATATATCCGGCCTGGTCAGGAAGTATTGGGTGTCTCTCAACTTTTATAACTTCTGCGTTCACCAGATACGTCCGGTCCTGTCAGGAAATATTGGCTTAAACTTAGCTCGCAGGGTTTCCGGGGTCAGAAGGTTAACTGTGACTTTATTAATAACTATGTTCTCTTCTAGATCTACTTCCTAGGTCTTACTTCTACTCTCTCCTAAGCCTGATTAGTTTTAACCTTAATTTTCTCCTGTTAGTCTCCATTCCTTCTATCTGTACAGTTGTTATACTTTATTAGATTCTTACGCGGTACAGATTGATGTTAGTTGAGGCTTTCTATGTGCAGTACATAAGAAGTTATATACAGTCATGGGGTGGAACATGTGGTAGTAGATATCTAGACTATTTACAACAATTCCATGGTCTTAAATCATCACATATATATATATTACTATTATTTATTTTGTAGTTAAACATTGTAAAATTACTTTACTTTCTTGCATATTGCTTCTCTGCTTAGCATTTAGCTAAGTTCTTGCAATATTTCTCTCTCTTGTTTATTAACATATATATATATATATATATATCAATATATATATATATATTACTCTTATCTATTTTGTAGTTAAACACTACAAAATTACTTTATTCTCTTGCATATTGCTTTTCTGCCCAGCATTTAGCTAAGTTCTTGCAATATTCCTATTCGCTGGTATATATATATATTATTTGTTCACGTTTCGATATTTGTACATATACTCGAGCGCTGTTCAAAAAATTTTTATTTTTCGCAAATTTGTGGCATTTGAATCCAATTTTTCTAGCTTGAAATTCTGGAGGCCCTTTACACTTCAATTTTATTTTACTGGAAGCCTTACAATCTGCAAATTCCTTTAGAATTTTGAACCTCAAGTGTAAAACTCTAATTTCAAAACACCTGAAAGTTGAACAAGGCCTTGAGCAAGCGATTTCTATACACTATTTAATTGAAACTCTTTTGAAACTCTCCCTACTTCGAGTAGAAGCTAACTTGTTCGAAAAACGACCGCTCTCAAAGTGGTGCAATGTTTTCGCAAACTAATTACTTCTCCATGATTGCCAACCCCACCTCATGCCCTTATGCATCTACACCATATTATGGCCCTACTACGGACCCAATCTCCAGCCTGATTGCTTCCATCCGAGAGCCATCCAGGGGTACTGTCGTTTATGGGACCAAAGTCGCAACACCATCCCATACATCGTCTTTGGACAATATTCTCTCGGGCCTCCCCGAGTTTGCCCATCTGAACCCGAATTTTGCGAGGTCTTCAAAACCGCTGAATCATTACGATTCACCTTGCGAATATCCTCCAGTCATGCCACCAAAGCATCCAGCAGACACCTTCACCTCAGAACTTCCAGATTTGCCCCTAGATGAAGACGACTATCTGGAGTTGGAAGAGGAGGACAACGCGCCACCATCTTCACCTGATTCTGAAATCCAGGCCCCTCAAGAACCAAGCCCCAAGCTGGAAAGAGAGACACCTCTCCCAGAGGCACAAGATGCCACCTCAGGAACGACCACCAGGGACCCTGCCCCTACTGACTCCCTGGAGAACGGGAGCAAGGCACCAGCTGCACCCATAAGTACATTGGGTGTCCTCACTCATGATCCTGGCGGCCCCTCTTCAGGGACCATTTACCCAGAGGACCAGCAAGCACGAAATGAAGCCCCACTCTGCTGGAACCAGTTTCAAGACCCTGCCTCCCCGCCGCCCCCCCCCCCCCCCCAGTAGGAAAGAATGAGGCACCAGCTACCCCTAGAGCTATATCAGATGTCCTCACTCATGATCCCGGCGGCCCCTCTTCATGGACCATTAACCCAGTGGACCAGCAAGCACAAAATGGAGTCCCATCCTACAGGAACCATGTATTGATTCAAGATCCTGCTTCCCCACCAGGCCCCCCAATAGAAAAGAATGAGGCACCAGCTACACCTAGAACTATACCAGGTGTCCTCATTCATGATCCCGGGGGCCCCCCTTTGAGGACCTATATTTATGAGAACCAGAAGATATTAGATGGAACTCCACCCCAAGGATCCCGGTCTCGGGGCCCCCCTGCCCCGACCGACCCCCTAGGAGACAAGAGCGAGGCACCAGCTCCGGCTAGAAGTGAACCAGGACGCCTCGTTCATGATCCCGGGGGCTCTTCTCCAAGTACCTGCAGACCTATTGACCAAACAGGTCTAGGAGGATCGCCACCCTACCGGAACCGAACCCAAGACTGCCCTGCCCCTGAGGACCACCACTGTAAATACTTTTGGACCCAGGAAAGGAGACGGACCAGAGACCGGAAGGAGCAACGGAGAGAAGCCGCAGTCCCCAGGCACCGAAAGTGGAGGACCCCGCCCTGGCCCTTTTTGAGAAAGTGGACCCTCCCCCCTTGGCCAGGAACCCTGTACCTCAAAGCCTAGACTGCTTGACCATTTTACTATACCAAACTAGCACTGGCAAGCATTTTCTAGCTTCTCTTCGACAATCTCTTGTAATTTTTTAAGATGCTTTCAATAAAGTTTTTTAATTCTGTTCTTATCAGCTTAATTAATAATTAATGGCATAGCATTTAAGGTCTGTGATGGACAAATTGTAGATGCCAATGGACATTCATTGTAGCAAGCAGATAGGAAACAATCACTTGTAAATAGTCAACCCAACGATACCTTTTCACTGACCTGCTGGCAGAGACTACCAATAGATCATCCAATCTTGCCGCCAAATAGGAAAACCCGAAATACATGCTCAGCTAATCATCGCCACTCAAATTACCCTACAAATAAACCTGTAAAAGCAAAAGGTAATCCCCTAAGGATCATATACTGGAACATAAATGGATTTTTTAGAATTTCTTCGGTCTTCTCTCTCTTCGATTACTTGAAATTGTTTGATATTTTTGCTGTAACTGAAACCTGGTGCCACTATTTACTTGACCTAGCTGTAGAAGATTTTGAGTTTTACCAATCACCAGCTGTTAAACCTTCGAATCAAGGGAGAAGCTCTGGAGGAATCCTTGTAGGAATTAGAAAAGAAATCCAAGGCTTAATCTACAAAGTTGAAATTGAGCCTAAATGGATCTCGGTTATATTTAAACTGGCTTCAATAGCGGACTCACCCCTAGTGTGTGCAATTTTTGTTTACTTACCCCCAAGCGAACTACAGCTAGAAAATCTAAAAAAATTGTTTTGCTATGTTGAAAATAAAATGCAACATGGATTCGAAATAGTTTTAGGCGGTGATTCAAATATTCGCATTGGCTACTTGGGTGCTTTCCACAACTTGTTCCAGATCCCAGCTATGCTTTCCGTCTATACCGTACCTCCAGAGATCCAACCGTGTCCCCCCTGGCTGAGACTCTTGTCGATTTCCTTGATGATAACTCCCTCACTATACTAAACGGAAGATCTATTAGTGATAAAAACGGATGCTATACTTTTATCTCACATCAGGGGTCTTCAGTTTTGGACTTATTCATGGTTTCTCCTGCACTACTGGAACTTGTTCTTGACCTAAGTATAGAAAGTTTGCCTTACTCCGATCATTTGCCACTTCTTCTAAAACTAAACGGATCAGACAATACAAAAGCGAAAAGCCTACCTCTAGAGCATACTCCTGTAAAAAAATTTACCTGGTCAATAAATAAAGCTTCGACATATGAACTTTGTCTCGAAGACCTAAATGCTCTCCAACTACCGGAAGACGCCTCAATGGACCTATGTGCTGACACTCTTACTAGCAGGATTCAAACATCAATGATGAGAGCAGGAATGCTAACAAAGGGAAGAGCGGATAGTTCGCGGTCTAAGCTATGGTTTGACGGAGAATGTTATACAGCAAAAACATATATGAAAAAAAATCTTAAGTTATATTTGACTCTCAATACTCCTATTTATAAAGATTTGTTTATTACGAGTAAACGCAAATACTTATCATTGCTCAAATACAAAAAGAACAAATATTCTGATTCTGTTCAAGCTGCCCTTAGCAATGTTAGGGACTCTGCCGAATTTTAGAAAATAACTGCGTCCTTTAAGAAACGGAATAGCATAAAAGGAAATATTGACATCTCAGAGTGGGAATCCTTTTTTCAGGGTTTATTGTCGCCTCCTCAAAGAATGGTTGCTGATATACCTACTCTACTAATTCCTATTGACTCCGAGCTGGACGCCGAAATTTCACCTTTGGAAATTGCGAGGGAAATCGCTAGCTTGAAAAACAATAAAGCAGCAGGTTACGATAGTATACCAAATGAAGCTATCAAAGCCCTACCTGAGAATGGTTTAATCCTTTTATCTAACTTATTCAATAAAATATTAACTAAATCCCAAGTTCCTTCACAGTGGTCAAAAACCATAATCCAACCAATATTCAAAAATGGCGATCCGAATGCACCATCAAATTATAGGGGCATTGCGCTTATAAGCAACTTGTCAAAACTCTTTACATCCATATTAAAAAATAGACTAAGTAATTGGATTGAGAATAGAAAACTCATAGCGGAAAACCAAGCAGGATTCAGAAGGGGCTACTCGTGCCAAGACCATATCTTCACGCTTACATCACTAATCCAAATGACATTAAACCGCAAAAGAAGGAAACTTTACGCATTCTTTGTGGATCTTAAAAAAGCGTTTGATTCAGTTCCACATTTACTATTATGGAGAAAGCTTGCGCTTGTTGGTTTAAGTGGGCGATTTATCAAAATCATACAGAACTACTATGCTCAAATGATGGCAGCGGTCAGATGGAATGGCTCTTTTACAGAATTCATCAAAATACAATCAGGTGTTCTTCAGGGTGAACCTCTTTCACCGTATTTATTTATTATTTTCATTAACGATCTGATTGCTACACTGGATGATTCTGACCTGCCAGGTATATACTTACCGGGCCATGGAACTATACACCTCCTCCTGTTCGCGGATGATATAGTCCTCTTTGGTGAATCCAAGATAAATCTTCAAATAAAGATTAATCTAATAAAAAGATATTTTGAGGAAAATGGTTTAACTCTGAACCAATCCAAGTCTAAAATCGTAGTGTTTCGAAATGGAGGCCGCTTGGCCAGATCTGACGTTTGGTTTTGGGGCCAACAACCCTTGACAGTATCTTCAAAATATACATATCTTGGCTACCCCTTAACTACCAAGAATACAACTGCTTACGTGGCGCAGCACTTTAAAAGCAAAGCATTGGTTGCTACAAACGCAGTATGGAGAATACTATCTAAGTCAAGAACCAAATCGTTCGGAGCAGTGATGAAATTACTTGACTCCATAGTTTTATCTACGTTGCTATACTCGGCCCCCATGTGGGCGACAAATCAGATAGTAGTCGTAAACCAGATCCAGGATATTTTCCTACGGCGATTTCTTGACCTACCCAAATATACTCCGGGCTACATCTTGCGAACAGAAACCGGAAGGATGTCCCTTGAATTAAACATTACGAAATTGATTCTAAAGTTCTGGATACGGATTTTAAAAATGGACAGGACAAGATTACCCTATGTTTGCTTGTCCCAGCTCTGGAAAGTTTCAATTGTGGGAAAAGCGGGAAACAACTTTATTCATAACTTGAATAGCATCATTGACTCTAGGGGTTTTTCTTTTTTTAAGAACTGTGAAGATTATATGGTTGTGCGAGGAGAAATCCCTAGAATTATTCAAACCACAGTGGACCAGCTACTCCAATTTGACCGAGCTAAGATACAATGCTCAACTCATTTTATTCACTACCAATTTCTAAGTAGCTCCTTTATGACGGACAACTACTTACTATCAAACCTCCCTTTGAAAATTAAACGATTTATAGCCCGTCAAAGGATTCTATGGCTACTTTTCCGCGAGGATATCATGGGATTTTGGAACAGCGACCCTTTAAATTGCTACTTCTGCAATGCTGGCATCCAAGACAATTTGGTCCACTATCTATTCCATTGCCCATTCCTACATGAAAAGAGAATGGAAATTCGCGAAATTTCGGAGCTGGCTCACTACAATGAACAATATGTATATAAAATCCTTAATGCTCTCCTGCTGGATAAACCATTTGTTTATAAATATTTTAAAATTTTCAAGGCGATTGATAAAATGAGAGAAGAGGTGCTCAACTCCACAGACAACGGCTGATTGCTCCCCCTCTCCTCTGGATTGCTTTTCCTCCTCACTCATGTACATATATAACCTTCAGGGGAATCCCCTTGTAAGACAATAGTGTCTTAATAAAGGTTTTTGTTGTTGTTGTTGTTTTTATTAGGTTTGGTCTTGGTGTCTTTACTCCTAATCAAACTTCAACAGGGTGTAATAAAATTTACAGCAATTGTTTTGGTCATTGTGAGTTGGTGTTAATTCTAAATGAATTCCTCGTGTAATTCTGGTCCAGAAAATGTTTTATTCATTTGTTCGTTTTAAGATTTGTTTAAAGTGACATGAACACATGGCATGGCCAGGTTGCACAGGCTGACGTTGTCCGAAGGTTTTGGTTCAAACAATCTACGGTGCCATGGAGGTTACAAGGAAAGAGTGGAGATCACCTTTGGAGCGGTCATCCAACTACTGGGACAGAGAACTTCCAGGAGATTCTCTGTGGAAGGATGATGTGGAATTGAGGTGCAAAATGAGGAAGGGGCCCGAGATCAGTGAGTTAAACGCCCGCAACATCGTCCAGGATATGCTGTGCTGCTCGTCAACAATGTTTCTTCGTCCCTCGCCTGTCGAAGGTGCTCTTCACAAATGAGAAGATTCTCAGGGTTGAATTGCTCTACGATCACCGCCAGCTGCGCAAGAAGGAAGACCGCCATTGCCAAGGCCATCAGTTGCAGCCATTTCCAGGATCCCGCCAGGGTCTGAACCGACATCTGCGGCCCCTGGAACAGAGCACGAACCATTCCTGACCTGAGTCAGTGTGGTATAGCAACCAACCTTGGGATAAAGCAGCAGGCTCAGTGACGGCAGATCCATCTAGCAATAACAAAGGTGACGAGATGCGACGTCATTTTTTCCAATTCGTGCAATGCTGCGATTGGTGTCACTCCGTCAACTCCATCGAGGAGTTTGGGGCGATCTGGGCACAATTATCTCATTGTATGACACACATGTTGTAGCAAATAGGATTTCAATATGTCACAGAAAGAAGTTTGTGGGTAAATAAAAATACAATCAATCGTCAATTCCAGTCAACAGTGGTAAACACATGAGGAAGTTCTACAGACACCGAATATAATAACTCTGACAGTTGAAATAGAGCAACTGATAGTTTATGACCCTCCCAATCTTTAACGGGGCAGCATATATATGTAAACTATAAGCCTATATGTTTACTATAGAACACATGTACATAAAAGCTGCGCTGAATAATTTCAAATTTCGTATATATAAAATTTTATAAATTCTCATTATCATCTCTGATTTTTACTTTTAAAATAGATAAAGAAGTAGGTAAACCAAAAATTAAAGAGGTCGATATAAAAAAGGGGGAAATATAGTAAATATATATATTAAAATATCAAAAGTTTTTTTTTTTCAAACAACAACAGCAGCAAACTTTATATTAATAAGTCAAAAAATATTTTAAATTTGTAAATTGATTTTAATAAACTTTAACATTTTTATATAAAGGTCGCCTCTCCCGTCAAAATAGACGCTTATGAATGTACAATGAAATGAGAGTGTAATACAATAAATATCTCAGTTTTAAGCGCAAGGAAGGCTGAGGTGCATTTCGAGAGAAACACTTTTATAATTCTCAGGAATAAGTATTTATTTGTTTGACAGTAGAACACACAATTGGTCAGGTGTAACTTTGAAGACCCGTGAATTGTCGTCACTACAATATCATATCTTCCAAGCCCCTAATTTCTTACTTCTACTTTCTAATTGTCTAACAATGATTGCGCTAAGTCAACATTTGCTGCTTCTTGTACGCAAATGATGGGCGATTTCCCACCTGAGTAAAGTTGGAAGAAATTATAAAAACAGAATAAAGGGATGACATGTACTACAGTAGATGAAATACCAATGTTTTGTAAGATAGTCCAAACAGCCAGAGATGTGCAGCTGTCCAGGTTGACAGCCAGCAACCCCAACAGTTCCCCCGACAACAAACCTGTCACTCAATGACCGTGGTCACATTCTCTTTCAGGGAGACGAACTTCTCCTTCATCTTCAGGTCCTGGTCCAGCTCTGTACTGGCGGTACAGGTCGGCCTGCAGAATCTCGGACTTTTTTTAAAGTTGTCCTTGTCTACTGCCAGGGGAACTGTTGGGGTTGCTGGCTGTCAACCTGGACAGCTGCACATCTCTGGCTGTTTGGACTATCTTTGAACATATTGGTATTTCATCTAATTGCCAACACTGGAGACATATTAAGGACAAATGACAATAGGTTCCAGTTATTGCAATCAATATAACAATGAAAACTAAAGATGTTTAAAAAGGATGCTTGAAGTAAAGAAAGCTTCATATTCTTGCTTATATTTAAAATATGCCGGTTTTTCTGTAATTAATTCTGGGAACACCTTGAAAATGGCTAGTACGTCAAGAAAATCTTGGTTTCATTTATACTTTGACCTGGATAAATGCACCCACTCAATATTTATAAAATGAATTCTCTCTCTTTTGAGAAAATTAAGTTTAAACTTACTTGCCATATTTTTGGGCTTTGGGGGAAACATGGAGAATTCCCAATTCTTCAAGGACTTTATTGCCTGGACACGGCATCAGACAGGATGAGAATTAAATACTGAGGTCAAGATAGAGAGGGTGCAAGTACCTGCATTGTCTTCAGGAGATTTTGACATTGAACAATGTATTTGGCTTTTTGGTGGAGTTCCTGG